TCGACATGGTGCCAGTCACGTTGCCAAACCCAGGAGACACACCACCACCTCCTCCAAGCTTTGCTTGCGTGTCCGTCAATCTTGAGGCAGTATACAATACCTGCTATCTAGCACTACATCACTTCCGCCTCCCGCGCGCAGCAGCAACAACTTTCAAGCCCAGCATCGTTCTCATCGCCTCGCTTGCAGCCTATATCGGATACCCATATAGCACCACATACAGCATGTCCAAGTTCGGTGTTCGAGGACTTCTGTACAGCCTGCGCGAGCGCGCCATGCACTCTTCGATCCGCATCAATCTTGTTGCACCCTGGTACGTGGATACCGGCATCGCCAAGCAACCCGACTTTGTAGAGGACAACGGCGCTGTTCTTAACATAATAGGATTTGTATCCATGGACAGAGTCGTGGATGCTGTGGTGAGGTTTGCTTCGGTTCAAGAGTTGTGTGGAAGAAGCGTAGGCATCTTCCCCAAGGGCAGCGAAGATCTTCTCGACGATCTGGAAGGTGGATACGGCGGCGCGATAGTGAGTAAACATATGCGCGAGGTTCAAGCAGTCGTTGTGCAGGAGATGCAGAAACAGATGCAAACGTAGTTCATTGCCCAGTAGACCCGATATGAGAAACATCTTCGCGATATCGGCTTTGTCAATCACGACTGTCGACATCACATACTGGTTTGATGTTGATGTCAACCAGAGTCACGCTGATTCTCATCCCACAATCTCTGATCGCATGGCCGTGTGGAAAATAGTACGATGTTACCACTGCCATGTGGGCCCGCGTTTGTACAAGCCATCGTACATGATGTACAATATGTCTTGCCACCCAACGTAGACATTTTCGCCGCCAGTACTAGATGTGTTTGTGCTTAGCCTTGGTTCACGCGCGTAGCCATATGCCTGAGAAGCTTAAGAGAAGCTAGCTTCGGGACGCCGGAAGGGGCGTTTGTGAACGGATGCAACATCGCATCCCTCTGGACAGGCGAGGCCCACCAAGCGATCAACGCAGACCTGTCCATAAAATTTTGTCGGGTCTGTCCGCCTCAACCGTCCGTAGTCTTTCGCCCGCCGGTATGTTGTTGCGCCGTTTGCAATGAAAGCCCTGGGGCGTGTGAGAAATGTTCAAGTATATCTATGCGAAGAGAATGCCACATCGAACAAAACAACAGCATCAAACATGCCACACATCCAGGATCCCCAAATGAAACGAGAACCACGAACCGGTATCGACATTCTCGTCGTGGGAGGCGGCATCGGCGGACTCACCTTCGCAATCGAGGCCCACCGCAAAGGACACGATGTGCGCGTTCTTGAACGGAATGACGAAGGTCAATACTCGGGTATGTACCTCCCCATCCAACTATCGACTTCCAAAAGAACCAAACTAACAAACCGACAGGTGAGATCATCATGATCACCAGCTCAGCGCTCGAAACGCCTAAGAAATGGCCAGGATTCTTAGAACGCCTCAGGGCCCTCGCATCGCCACCAACCTTTGACCTGCGCAAATACGACGGCACATTCATCCAACACCATGCTCCAGGCGACTCTGCAAATCCGTCTTTGAGCATCTACCGAAAGAGGCTGCATAGTTTGCTGAATACCTACGTCAAAGAGCTCGGTATACCCATCACGTACGACGCGAAAGTGGATGCATACTTCGATTCAACCACATCAGGCGGTGTTGTTCTCAAAAGCGGTCAGAAGATAACTGCAGATGTGGTGGTAGCCGCAGATGGTGTAGGCTCTAGGTCCCGCGAGATCATCGACGGGAATAGAGAGAAGCCGATTAGTTCTGGCTTTGTTGTCTACCGGACTTCTTTTCCTACTGGGCCGGCGATGGACGAGTATCCCCTTGTTGCGAGGGAGTTTCTGGGGCACGATCACCGTGGTTTCATGTATATTGGTCCCGGCGCGCATATGGTTATTTCTCATGACAATGGCGAGCTGTGCTATCTATTGACTTGTAAGGTTTGTAGTCGCTGGTTCATTGGCCTTGTAGATCGTTGCTAACTTCTATCAGGATGAGAACGGTACGGCAACAGAGAGCTGGTCGAAAACCACTTCCACGGATAGGATCCTGGATGTTGTAAAAGATTGGGATCCTTTTGCTACGGAGGTGATCAAGGCGACACCGAACAATCAGGTGCTCGACTGGAAGCTGATGTGGCGCGATCCACAGCCGCAGTGGGTGTCGAAAGGCGGCCATGTCGTGCAGCTGGGCGATGCTGCCCATCCTTTCTTGCCCACGTCGTTCAGTGGCGGCACGATGGCCATGGAAGACGCGTACTCGCTAGCAGCCTGTCTACATGTTGCTGGGAAGCAGAACGTTGCGCTTGCAACCAAGGTGCACAATAAGCTGAGGTATGCCGATATAGATTGTGGAGAAACACCAGCGACTAACCTCAAAACTGTAGGTTCGAGCGAGTGTCCTGCGCGCAGAAGCTAGGATTCAAGAATCGTGAGATCTTTCACAACACCGACTGGAAAGACGAAAAGGCGGCGCCGACAAAGCAGCACAAGATGGTCGGAGATTGGTTGGTCTGTCACAACCCCGAGAAGTATGTTTACGAAAACTACCAGAAGTGTGCTGAGCATTTGGACACGGGTGTTGAGTTCCTGAACACGAACATACCGCCGGGATACAAGTACAAGCCGTGGACCGTCCGCGGGCTGTTGGGGGCTTCGGAACGTGGCGAAGTGGTTGAGGATGAAGGCGACTGGTCCTGAATGAGGGCAAGCTTGCAAAATGCCGCGTTATCATTGTAGCTACTTCAGCTTATCGACTGGCCATGTTGGCAACATCTCTTCTCGATGTATATATATGGGCATCCGGCGGCAACTGTTGATGCTGATTAGAACTGCCGAACTTCATGCTTCTCTCTGCTGTGTCCTGCCCCCGCTCCCTGTGGCTTACTGTCCCGTCGCTCGTGTCCGCCGAACTTATAGCATGCCAGTATGCCTGGCTATTGCTTGCCATTGTATAGGCATGTAGCATGCCAGATGCCAACTTGTCATATCTTCTCGATGGTTAAGCTCGCCATTTTGTCCAACTGCTGCCTCCGAGTCGTGGAACAGCCAAGCCGCAATTACATCTATCATAACGCTCGAAATATACGCGCACATCGCTTCCTACAACGATGCCGGCACCTTGGTTGTGGACGAGTGCGGTCGGGTTCCGTTCGAGGAGCGTGGCATCGTGCGCGCGTGTAGGAGGTGCTTTGAGAGCGAGGACTGTGGCAAATTCGCTTGAAAAGGCTCCAGCCTACCCGGTGGTGCCAGTTTATGCCTATGATGCGAAACGCGCGTGGGTTCTGGAGCGTACGATGATGACGTTGAGCTTCTCATGGCGACATTAGGGAAGGCTCGCGATTGCGTGCTGTCGTGTTACAATACGCATGTCTTTAGCCAATATACCAACCACCTGTTGTATTGAAAGAAGGCAAGTTAGGCATAATAAAGCTCCCTTCGCGCAATGATCGCGTGGATTAGGAGTGTTGGTGGATAAACGTCCAATGACGACCAGCTCAACGTCCCCAAATGCCGAGGGATGTCGGAACGCTGCTCGGAACGGCTTGGCCCGGCTTGCCCTCCCATTCATCTAAGCTGCACTCCAACGGCAAGAATCTTAGTAAGACTCGGACATTTCCCATATCAACCATGTATTTCCAAGCTTCTGACCCAGGCCTGAAGTATTCGCGATATTGGGAAACTTCACCGCCGCGGCACTGAAGCATGACGGCCGATCGCGGAGCTCGAGGCCTTGTCGCTGTAAGTCAATCTCCATCATCCCCAGCGCAACGAAACTGACTGGGTACCTAGATAACAGGCGCAAACGGAACAATAGGCTATGCCTGTGTGGTCTACGCGCTGCAAACTGGCTATCGAGTCCGGTGCATCGTGCGCCGCGCCTCCGCCATCGAAACGATCAAAACCGGGCCCTCTGTGCAGCCCTACCTCGACCTAATCGAATACGTCGCCGTGCCAGACAATGCGGTCGGAGGAGCATACGATGAAGCTGTTGCGGGTGTCGACCATGTTGTGCACATAGCAGGAGCATGGCCGATGCTCCATCTGGATCCTGACAACGACATCTACCATCCATACATCAGGTCGACGACGGGCTTGATAGAAGCAGGGCGCAAGTCTGGCACAGTGAAGAGGATGGTGTTTACGCAGGCGGGAGCGGGGCTTGTTGACTCTGAAGACGGCGATACACTGGGTACGCGTACGGAACGCGTCTTGAACGGTACGTCTCTGCTTCTGCCCTCGCGCCTCAGTTCATGCGTCTTACTGACCGATACAGAGGCAGTTCAGGTCTCGCAAACATCCCTCGCATACCGACCCCCTCTCAAATCCCCTCATAACGCCTACTGCTCCGCAAAAGCCCAATGTATGACCTACCTCGCTGATCTCCAAGCTTCCCACGAGCTCCCCTTCTCTATCGCGCAAATCATACCCGGTACCGTCATCGGCCCTTCGGAGTTCTGCACAACGTCGGAGCAAGCGCGTGCGCATATGGATCGACAGAGCAAGGCATTGCTGTTCGATGATGTGGCACCACGGTATGCGTTTGGTTTCGTGCATGTGCAAGACTGCGCTCGCATTCATATCGAGGCGCTAGATGAGAGGGTTAGAGGCGAGGACCTGCCCAAGTGGTATGTTGCCGCTGGGACGGTGGAGGAGGGGACGGATGGGGACAAACTCTGGAACTCTGTGGCGGACATGATCGAGCGAGACTTTGCCAAGGAGGTCAAGACTGGGGTTTTCACATTGGGACGCCAGAAGGTGCCTATCAACATGCCATTTCGCGTCGAATCAAGCATGACGGAGAAGATGCTGCTGAATGGTGACAAGATCAGGGGGCTAGGGGATAGCGTGAGAGAGGTCGCGGGGTGGTATATTCAGCTTAAAAGAACAGAGGAGAAAGCAGATGTGTAAACTGGGACAATGTTGAGGACGAGTTGAATCCATCGAATCAGTCTGATGTCATGCGCCCTACCACTTGAAGCTTTCTTCAAAGTACTCCACCCCTCTATAACCTTTAGCCAACATCTGGACACTCGCTCTCCTAGCTTGATCCGCCATCAAAGCTGGTCCACAAGCCACAATCGCCAGACGTTGCTGGCCCGCATCTCTAGCAGCCTCTTGAACTGTTTCATGTACGTCAGGTCTGTGTGCCATGATTCTTACGCTCTTCAAGTCTTCGCCCAACACATCGTCTTTTGCCTCATCATCCCGAGTGACGTGCACTTCCATCTCGACTCTCTCATCACTCAACGAGCCTCTGAAGTCGCGGAGAACAGAAGTGAGGAACGCGTACTCGCGTACTGCCCATACAATCTTCACACTGCGTACACGTGATGTACTGGCCAGAACGTGGGCTAGGTGTGATAGCGGGACCGCGATACCCGTTCCACCGACTACGAACAGAATGTTTTGTGAACTGCGGAGAGGAACAGTGTGTCCATAAGGCCCTTCCACAAGGACACGGAGTCTTTTGGGGTGTAAGAGACAATGTGACTTCAATCGGGACGTGAAGCCGTCGTAAGGTCGGACAAGGAACACCATATTCGATGAGGCATCCGAGGCTTTAGACGACAGGAGTGCATCCGACTCTGTGGTTGAGGCTGATGAAGTACGCGAGTGTTCCGGCCTCGCTGAAAGCGGTGAAAGTGGCGTAGATGGAGGATCGTCCGTATCTCTTGAACTATATGCCAACGTGAACGGATGGCTCTGATGTGCATAGAACAGATCATCCAACACGTGGATGTAGTAGTAAGAGCCAGGCCTTGGGGCTACTAAGCTCTTGCTGTCATCAACTTCCATACGTACGAGATTACTGCTGGGGTCATAAGTGACCCTAGCCTTGGTACTCAGCGGGCTGCGGTTGAAAGCTAAAATTCGTGAGAGGCGCATAATCCGGTCAAAGACCCAGAAACCGACGCATGGCCAGATGAATATGTTCCACTCGCCATTAGTGAAAATCTCAACATGGTAATACATAGTCCAGAGGGTTGCGATCGAGAGCGCTATGTGCGTGACGAGGAAGAACTCGTAGTGCGCACGGCGTATACCGTGGAACGAGAACGCCAAAAGACCGCACATGGCTATGGTTGACAGTTCGCCGTTCCAAAAGTAGTGCTTCGTCCAGTAATTTAGAAAAGTTGGCCATCCTCCGCGCTCCAGTATCATCAGCGTGTATCCCACACTGTGCGCTACGGCTTGTACTGTGGCAACCCTTGCCGCCCACCGATGGAACGCGTTGTAGGTACCGAACCCCCATCCAGTGACCCAGATCAAAAGATCATTGCGCATACCAAAGAGCCAAACAAGTGGGAAGTTCGCGAGCGATATGATTCCCGTACGATCCGATACAAAACGGAGAAATTGCACCGACTTCTTCGGCCAATAAAGGTTGCCTTCGGTAAGACGGTAGGAGCAGCTGCAGATAACAACGTTGAGTGCGACAAAAAGAAAGATGGTAAGCGACTGGATCCGTGGTGGGATGGTACACCAGCCGTACGGTCGAGAACAACGATCACCAAAAGCGGCAGGTGTGGTAACGTATCGCCTGAGCCAGGTCCGAAGGAAAACCACAGGATTTCGAGTTCCAGAGATCGTGCCGGATTCGACTTCTGGGACTGTTTTGTATGACATGTGGCGCTGTTCACTGCGTAGAAGTGACAGTATACGCGTCATTACACCAACGGCCACTACTATGAGCCAGAAGTAGTACATGTACCAGCTGTGGGTATTATATTAGCGAAGTTGCGCCTAGCGGGATACAGGCTCGACTTACCCATACACGAGATGGATCTCGTATTCCCAGAATGCCGCCTCCTGTACGCCACATTTAGCACTCCATAGTCTCTTTGGCCGTATAGGCAGAAACGTACCATGGTGGTGAAAGCTCGCCTTACAAGCTCATCACTTGGTATCACAACTTCATCAATGGTCGGAAACTTCAATGCCTTTTCAGCCGCCAGTCGCGTCACTCTGGCCTTGTCGTCAGGGGTCCATTGGTCCAGAACATCGCGAAAGGAAGGTAATGTAATGTTTGCGTGTGCTTCACACCAGGGTTTCTGGTTCTCGATCCATTTTTCTGTCTGGCCATCCTGTATGCAGAACTCGTCGAAGCACAGATACAGTGATGTGAGGCGTAATTCACTTTGGCATCCTCGGATCTTGCTCGAAAGCGAAGGGTCGGTGTCGTTGAAGGTTACATAGTTGACGCCGGTCTCACATGCCAAAGGGCAGTACTTTCCCGAGTACAAAGCATGTGATGCACCTGTAAGCGTGTACAGAATGATGGAGATGGATGAAGTGCGCATGAGTGGACGCGATGAGGTACAAGATGGGGCGACGCAAGCTCGGAGTCGGAGATTGGCGGGGTCGTGAAATCTTATCAGATGTCTACGCACGGGCCCGCGCTGGCATCAGGCGCGCTTCTTTCGCGTCAGCTGGGTTGTTGCTTCGAGCTTGCAGATGGCCAGTGTCTGTGAGCACAAAGTTTACGCAGCGGCCATACTCGCTGTCTTAACCCCCTGTGGCACCACGTCATGTCTCACACCGCCTCAAAGGCGACCTTTCTCTCTTTACCTATCGAGCTCCGCCTAGAGATTGTCGCATACGCGCTGGAACAATCTGACGCGGGACTCACGAAACACCACGAGTCCAATGAGGGACGAACTTGTTCTACGATAGATGAGAGGTACAAAGCTAGTACCAACCTTGCGATACGGCTGGTTTGCCGCCAGTTCAACGCTGAGTTCCGTCGCCTTGCCATCCACAGTACCCTCTTTGTGCTCGCCAGGAACTCCACACGAGTTGCCGCTCAGCAAGTCGAAGAGCTTCTACAAGATGTAAAGAAGTTGAGGATTCACTGCAACCATGAGACCATCGGGAAATGGTACGAGTACCCGTTGAACAGGCAATGTATGCATCTCGATGAGCTACAGTTTGTAATGCCACTCGACGACTCTGCCAACCGGACAGCCCTCGTGGGTCTGCTCAGACGTCTGCGCAACGTCAAACAAGTCAAGCTCCTCTTCCCGAACCATCGTGTTGCAAAAGAGCCCTATGGGTACATCAGATTACTCGGCGAGTTGCTCAAAGAAGACCATTTCCAGAGATACGATGCCCTGAACGCCCCCAATTTCGAGTCTACATGTTGGGAGTGGAGTTTTGACAAAGAGTCTAGTTGGGCTGTCTTCGTGGCTCGGGAACCTATGGCGCTTATCCCGGAAGAGCATTACTTGCTGCTCATGAAGCCGAAGATCGACTACATTATGGATTACATGGCATCATAGCACCAAAACGGTAGTAGTCACTGTGCGACACAGCACATTCGTGCCGTTATGTGATGACGAGGGAGAACCGCATGGATCCATAGAGTATGCTACCAAATCAACGGATTTCAATATTGATTGACGAGCCAAAGATAGTGAGGGTGCCACGATTCGGCCCAAGGCTTTGACGCGTCTTCACGTGGTCTCCAACACAGCTGCATCCCCGAGTGCTACGTAAGACTAGAACATCAGCATGGCTTAGCGGCATGGTAGAGTCTGGTATTATAAATGTCGCTGTGCGGAAAGAGGCCACAGTCGCTTACTGGCATTTGAGTGTGGCAGCTTAGCAATCACGCTGCTTCGGAGGCCCAGGAGATCCGACGCGGCCCCCACTTGCCCAACGATGCACTTGACGCACTGCATCGCGCCTGCCTCACCCCCAAGCGCGACTGCTATAACAGCAGCCATGCCACGCCCTTCCAGACGCCGTCTATCCTCCATATCAATTCACCGTCCACCATGAGCGCTCCGAAGCCAATCCTCATTTCCGGCGCCGGCCTCGCCTCGCTCCTACTCGCCCGCTCGCTGCACCGTTCCAAGATCCCGTTCCTCGTCTTCGAACGCGACGCGTCCATCGTCTTCAGAGCGCAGGGTTATAGGTTGAGACTCTCGGCGCAGGGTCTGGACGCCATTGAGCAAGTGCTCGGTCCGGCAGGATTCAAGACATTCTACGACGCTTGCGGCAAAACTGGCGGGGCTGGATTCGCGGCAGTGAACCCGCTGACAGGCGAGACAATAGGTGGAGATGCTCCGAGCGTCAAGAGCGAGCCTTTGACCAGCAGAGACGGCAAGGTCGTTGGAGTGTCGCGCGGTGATATGCGCAAGCTGTTCATGGACGGCATCGAGGACCGTGTGGTTTGGAAACACCAGGTCGCAGCCTACGAGAGGACGGACAATGGTGTGCGACTAGTCTTCGCCGACGGTACCAAGTCCGAGGAGGGCTCTATGCTGATCGGTGGTGAGGGTGTTAAGAGTGCAGTCGCTGGTCAGCTGTCCAATGGGGCGATCAAAGTCTACGATCTCGGTTCCAGAGGAATACATGGACAAGCCCCGACAGCAGCCTTCAAGGCCTTGGGCGAAGGTGTCTTCCGCCTCGTCGACGATACATCACAGCCGAACGGTGGCAAGGTCTTCGTCATCACAAATGTACGCGCAGGCGACATGGACAAGCCCGACGTCAACTTCGGCTGGACCATGATCGGCTCTCCAGGCGTCATCAAAGCGCCGAACGACAATTACACGATTACTGGGCCGCCTGCTGCACAGATAGCAAAGGCACTTACATCGCACTGGCATGATCGTGTCAAGCCACTCTTCGATAACATGGCCGAGTCGGAAGCAGCTTTCTGGAAGATAACATGTTCGTCACCAGAAGGCGTACCGAAGTGGCCCAACGACCCTCGAGTCACTCTGGTTGGCGATGCGGTGCATGCCATGACGCCGGCAGGAGGCAACGGCGCAAACACAGCTGTGCGCGACTCAGCTTTGCTCGGTCGATTGATAGCCGAAGCCTGGGAGAGAGGCGATGGCGATAGATGGACGGGTGTCACAGAAGCATATGAAAAAGAGATGCGAATATACGCAACAGAGGCTGTCAAGGCTAGTTATGGGCAGGCTACAGGGCAATTCGGCATTGATCTTGATCTCAACACTGCGCCTACAATCAACGAATATGTCGCGCCAAACTGAGTATTCTTCGTTGCAGCAGACTGGTCATCAGTCCGAACAGGATTTAGCGTCACTTTCCTATGAGACGGCATTAGGTCGTGTTGACGAATGATACGCATCATCTTCATCCTTACTTTTACGTGCGACTCACGGTCACTAACGATACAGGGTGTTCTGGCTGGACAATTGCAAGCCCCCAAGTCTGCCGCGGGACGAATGTCGCGTCCTCCGTTGCCGATTGTAGATTCCGCCGCAGAGCCACGACTCATGTGTAGCTTCCCCGCATCTCCATTAGGCCCACCCCCGACTTCAAAAAACCGGGCCATCCAGTACGTGCGAAATTCCCGATAACAATGGATTCGCCGCGACCACGCAAACGCCGTGCCATCAATGCATGCGTCAGTTGCCGAACGTCCAAAGTACGATGCGACGGGAACCGCCCTTGCCAACGATGTGACCGGAATGGCGCAACTTGCCAATACTTTGACGCCGTAAAGGACGAAAATGTGTTGCGGATCGAAAGGCTCGAGAATGAGATGGCTGCTCTTCGTGAACACATGCGTATCCAGCGACATCAAGACAAGAGTGTACGTAGGCCTGAAGACTACACTTGGATAAAGGAGGCAAATCAGAACATCTGGCGCCAATGTGGGCTGTAGGGCGTTCTGGTTCCTCCTTATTTGAGGTGGTGTCCTGCGCGAATCAGCGGAAAGCTAGCTGACCATGATAATGATTGCAGTTACCCATGGAGGATGCGACTGGGACAGTGCCAGAAGTCGTACTCCGGTCTATGCCCAAGTGCAACGCAACGGCCGTTGACGCAGGTCTCATCACATGGGAACAAGCTGTCCACTGGTATCAAAGGTAGACAAACTCACTGCACTTCTCGAGTTTAGATCACTGATTCTACAAAGTTTCTTCTCGGGCAGTGTATGGAAGCCCCGATTCACCTGGTGAACCATACTAAAAGCCATAGCAATACCTCGTGCCCATCTTTTGCGAGAGACATGACAACATCGCATCAGTGGCTTCACGCAGCCCCATTCTTTTTGACGCCATAGTCAGTATTGGATGTCGCGCCGCCGAAGGTTTCAACACCAGGATCTATCGTCAGTAGCATTCCCGCATGGACTGAATGTGAGACGAATGCTGACGTTATACACCCATTTCTAGGCCGCCTCCAGACTCGAGTCCGTGATCAATTTACCGACCTATTCATCAACACGAATACCCCTACAGTAGAGGATATACAGGCCATCGCACTGGTGGCTGCGTACTCGGAGAACGCGTTCGTTCTGGTGGCTATGGCCCTTCGCTTCGCCATCCAGCTTGGGCTACCTCATGTTGTCGATCAGCTCATCGCCAAAAGTCACGCACGTTCCGGGATCGTGACCGCCGATGAGCAAGAGCTGTACCGTCTATCTAGAGTTTGGCTTGGGATCTGCAATCTTGAACTCTTGTGAGTATCATGTTAGCCTGATCGGAGAGCGCTACTAAAAACACTCAAGTTTCTCTCTAGATGGCGGTAAACTGCCGGGCCTTTCTCTTCAAATGTCATCTCGAAAGATCAGATGTCTGTTAGCTCACCCAGAACGTACATCTACCGACATCCGCCTCCTCTCGCAAGTGGAGCTCAACATCATCCGCACGGAAGCTTATACAAAGATCATGGGCCAGAGTAATGACTATATGGGTCAACACAGCGAAGATCAACTCCGAACTACGGTAGATGAGGCTTGTGTTGAGCTGTCACTATGGCTCGATGAATGGACCAACATCGCTCTGACCGAGCCAGCGCCACATCAACGGACTCTTGCGTTGCAGAACTTGTGTATACAGCAAGCTTGGGCGACGATGACTATGTACTTAAAGGCGGTAGGCTCTTCCGGGATCGAGAACATTGCGATCATGACCGACTTTCAGCGCGACTTCATACGCAAAGCCAAAGAGGCAGCGAATCGACATCTCCACTACATGCTTCAGTCATCGTCAACGCCAACTTCATCGCCGGTGTCTCATGCCTCGACTTCTGGCTCAACATACCTCAGCACTTTTCGCTGGACGCTCGATTATGTCTGGGCCAAGTGTGCGGTCTCAGTCTTGCTGGTCCTCAAGTTAGCCATTCTCCTCCGCGACCCGGTACCTTCGGTCATGGCGCTGCTCAGCGATGCGCATCGCGTACTGGAAGAGCTCAAGACTGTTACCGTCGGCCACATCGCATACTTTCAGATCTTGCAAACCAGCATCGAGAAGTGTGAAGCTGCTCTCCGAGAGTATGCTGCGGAACAGATACCCGACCAGGACTCTTCGATGGCGGGAGCGAGAAGCAGTGTAGCTGAAGACGAGTTCCAGGGTTACGTTCCCAGCGAGTTCGTCTTCGAGTGGGGTAAGTTTGGACTGCAGACACGCTTGTGAAATCTATACTGACTTCGTATGTCCACCTCTGCAGACTTTCCTGGGCTCAATCTAAAACATATGCCGCTCGGATGGCAAGACCTCTTTGTCAATATCGACAGCTTGTTCTAGACGAAAGGCATGCGTGGAAGGCAGGCTGCCATACAAGAGCCGTGCATGGTGCGTGAATCCGACGGTCAAGCATACCCTGGAAGTATCAACAGTGTTTACATGCACATGCCAATGGAGCAAATGTTTTATGTACGTTCAGTGTATATTGTAGCTAAGCCACAACTTTAGAAAGTCGTGCTTCGAGCGTCGACCCATTGATCAATATACATAGATGAAGTCTTCGTTCTTGATGTCAGTCACATCATCAAACGCCTTATCGCCCACGCCGCTGGCTTGTGCGTTCTCAGCTCCTTCTGCATCACCCTCGCACGCAGAACCCATGCTGGTATCGACGACAATGGCCGACTTCCCCATACTCTCTCTTGTTGCCGCATGCTTCCGGTTCAGAAGCTTGATCCAGAACATTGCAAGCAGGATAAGGACGACGATCGCGATGAAGAGAGCGAGGTTGGCGCGGAGGCCTCGGTAGTAGTGTGGTTTTTCTGACGGTTTGAAGAGCTGTGGGCCGATGATGTTGCCTGCGCTGGCGCCGACGAAGAGGATACTTGTCGTCACTTTGCGTTTTGTGTCGCCTCCTGTGTTTTGGCCGGACCAGCTATAAATCAAAGGTGAAATGCCGGGATAGAAGGACGTCAGCTGCAAGCACAGGGTTAGTAGGTTGCATGCTTGGCGTTGCCATGACTTACGTAGTATCCGAGAAGAAGTACACCACGATTCGAGTCGCCGCGTCCAACGACCATGAGGATGACGATGCCGGCGATTGGTGGTATACATAAGAGTATCAGCACGGGCGACTTCCGTTTCAGCCACGTGGCTAGCCAAGCTCCACCGCAGGTAGCTATAATCTGGATAACGCCGAAAGGCATGTTGAAGAGGATCGTAGCGAAGGGCCCAAACCCGAAACCTGAAGTTTGAGCAATCAGTACAGCTCATACATGCGATGTGCACGGGCCTTGTTCTTACTTTGGATGATTAGAGGCCCGAAAGCACTGATACCACCACTCGGGATGCTGATCGCTGTCAACATGGAAAACCAAAGCCATGTCTTGGGATCCATGAATGCCTCCAGTACGTGGTCCCACTTCCAGACACGAGATGCAACGCCCATCTGGTTCATACGCAGACGTTCGACAGCGACGAGCTTTTCGTGATCGTTGAAGAACTTGGCCTAAAGATTGGGGCACGAAGTCAGTATATCTCTCACATCAACTAGTACAGGGAAACCACTTGCCTCCATGGGTGAATCGGGCATGAACAACCATACAAAGACCGAAACGACGACTGTGAGGAGACCACAAAAGAGAAAGATGATCTGGTATGAGTACAGAAGATTGGACTGGATGTGGCCCAACCCGTAGCAGAGCAGACTGCCGAGGATGTTGACCATGCCCAGCATGGCGTACCAAGCTGCGTTTCGGTTCGTTTGCTCGCCACGCTTATACCACATTTGAACAACGGCGATGAAAGCAGGAGCTAGATGCGTTAGCGATAGTCTTCGCGATGGCTTGAAGAGTTGGCTTGCCAACGGCAGCTTCGAAAGCGCCCAACAAGAATCGCGTGGCCATCAGCCCGGCGAAGCTGCTGGCACCCGCCATTCCGCATAATATGCAGCCCCAGGTGAACACCATTACACCCATGAACTTCCCCATCCTGAGCTTGACCAGCAACACTGCCACCAACGGCTGTGCCACTAGCTGCGCAATATACACGATACTCCCAAGCCATGAGTATTGTTGACTGTTGGGATCGAGGTTTGCATCTTCGATGAGGCCAAAGACGGAGGCGTAGGACAACGTGGTCTTGTCGAGTGATTGGAGGAAGTAGACGCTGAGTAGGATGGGCAAGATGACAAGATCGATCTTCTTCAAGACGCGTTTGTTCTCGGCGGATGTTACGACGATGCGTTCGTTCGAGGCGAGAAGTGCGGCGGCTTTGTCTTTGCCTTTGCCGTCCGTCGCATTGGCTGGCTTGTAAAGCGACTCCGTGGTTTCGACATTGGGCTTGGAGGCGGCGACGTCGTCGGTCACCTCCGGTTTCGACATGTTCAAGAAGACTACAATCAACCCAGGAAGAGTCTGAGATAATGCTGCAGTAGTAGGTCAATATGGCCCGACTGCACTTATACGCATCCCCACGGGGACCCCAGACGCTGATCTTGTCTCTCTTCGGGCTAGGTCTCGTAGCTACGGCCGAAGAAACCGGCAGCCAAGGATGGATGCCTTTAGCCTCGTGACGAGGGTAGGCTCCTTCGGTTTTCTCCGATGGTACCTTCGGGCGAAGTTCAATGGCCTGCCTTGCTATAAGTACAGTATGATTCATGATGGTCATGATACTTGGCAAGAAGACAGGCATTGCCAACTGTTAAACCCGTTCTATATTCATCATGCCGATGCTTGAGCACGTCCCCAGCGGCTACCAAGCTGTTCCCGCAACGGCATCGTTTAATACGAGCGTTGAGTTGCAATCAAACTCGGGCTTTGTTTTCACGTTTGACGCTTTACGACCTGGACTTTTCCGAACGACTTTCACGTCGCCCAAGCACTTGTTGCCGCCACACCGAGCCACACCAGTACCGAGCACGACCCTGGACGACACGACTGCGGCACGGGTATCATCAAGCACCACCTCAAAAGCATTCGCCGTCGATGGAGTCACTGCCAATGTGGATTGGGAAGGCGGTGTACCCATAGTATCACTTACGCTTCCTGGCCAAAAGACACCCATTCATACCGATCTGCCCAATCGCTCCTATGTTGCTGATGGACCTGGGGTTTCGCACTACACACGCTACAATAATGGGACTCTTCACCTTGGACTTGGCGAGAAGCCAGCACCCATGGATTTATCAAATCGTCACTTCGTTCTCTCCGCCACCGACTCTTTCGGCTACGATGTTTATCGTACAGACCCGCTCTATAAGCACATTCCTCTCCTGATCAATTGCACGCCAGATGGCTGTGTTGGTATCTTCTCAACGTCACACGCCCGCGGCTTCTACTCTGTAAGAGATACCGCTGTACACCTGCATCTGAGACGCATGCTGACCTCTTTTACCAGGTCGGCTCTGAGATGGATGGGATGTGGGGACGCTTCAAAGTATATCGTCAAGATTACGGCGGCCTCGAGGAGTACCTCCTGGTGGGAAAGACACTACCGGATATTGTGCGCATCTACGCTGACCTCGTTGGCTATCCACTTCTGGTGCCGCGGTGGGCATTCGGTTACCTGGCTGGTGGTATGAAGTACTCCATGACGGACGACCCACCTGCTAGTCAGAGCATGATGGAGTTTGCTGCCAAGCTTAAAGAACACGACATTCCCTGCTCCGGCATGCAAATGTCATCTGGCTATACGGTCGCAGAGACAGAACCGAAGACGCGCAACGTGTTTACGTGGAATAAGCATCGGTTTACTGATCCGAAAGGCTGGATCGATGCTTATCACAAGGAAGGCATTCGGCTCATTGCAAACGTGAAGCCGTATGTATTGGGCAGTCATCCCGAGTATCAAAAGCTCAAAGACGCTGGCGCATTCTTTACGGACTCTTTGACACTCGCATCGGCTGAAGCGAGACTGTGGAGCGCGGGTGGAGGTGAGAGTGGAGTCGGTGGCCATATCGACTTCACTTCCAAGGCCGGGTACCAGTGGTGGTACGACGGCATCCGCGAGCTGAAGCGTGTCGGTATTGACTGCATTTGGAACGACAACAACGAATACACTGTTCCACACGACGGCTGGCAGTGCGCGCTAGATGAGCCAGCAGTTACCCAAGAGCCCAAGAGCGACCACTATGGCAACAGCATCGGATTCTGGGGTCGTGCCCTCAACACCGAACTGATGGGGAAATCTTCGCACGATGCGGCCTTGGAGATGGAACCTGCGCAACGCCCTTTCATCTTGACCCGAAGCGCCACAGCAGGAACGCTTCGATACTGTGCAAGTGCCTGGAGCGGAGACAATGTCACCTCTTGGCCCGGCATGAAAGGCGCCAACGCTCTGTCCCTCACCGCGGGCGTGTGTCTAATGCAATGCTACGGCCACGACATAGGCGGTTTCGAAGGCCCACAGCCCAGTCCCGAGCTTCTCGTCCGCTGGTGCCAGCAAGGCATCTACAGTCCGCGCTTCGCCATCAATTGCTTCAAAACGGGCAAGGACAACCGCGTCGGCGATGTTATCGAGCCTTGGATGTATCCCGAGGTGACTAGCATAATCCGCGACACGATCAAGCGCCGCTACGAACTCATCCCCTATCTCTACTCGCTAGCGCTGCATTCTCACATGACTGCCACGCCACCGCAGCGTTGGACTGGATGGGAATATGAGAGCGATCCGGAGATTTGGACCAACAAGATTCTTACCGATGGCGAAACACAGTACTGGCTTGGTGATGCACTACTGGTCGGTGGTGTCTTCACTCCTGGTGCCGAGACTGCTAGCATGTACCTTCCCAAGGACGCTTCAAACCCTGATGCCGCGTTTCTGGACCTGAACAACGACCCACAAACGTATTACAGCGCGGGACAGTGGGTTGATGTTGCATCGCACTGGCAGTCCAGCATTCCTGTTTTGGCGAAAGTTGGAAGCGCTATACCTGTTGGACGGGCGGAACAAGTCCTCTCTGTAGGCGAAACAAACAACCCGGCGAACCTGCCCCTGGACGACTACCGGGGGGTAGAGATCTTCCCTCCAAAGGCTTCTTCCAACGGTAAAGTCTACACGTCTACTTGGTACGAAGACGACGGTGTTTCGCCGCCGCCAGCCAGGATCTCCAGGTTCATAGTCTCTTTCGAGTCAACGGCCACGCAGGTACTGGTGCAATATGAGGAGAAATTGCAAGATGGCTTCGTCCCGCATTGGAAGGACCTGGAGGTTGTCCTGCCGAGGGGCGATGAGAGAAGTGTTGTCTTCAATGGCGCAGATGCGGAGAAGACGGGAACTGACAAGTTGGGGAGAGGGAGGTGGAAGGGTAGTGTTGGAGGGAGGAAATAAGCGTTGATTGC